AGTTGAAAAAACATTCTGTAAAAAAAAATTCGTCATATTTATAAATTATTATGCCAATGTTCGTTCAATTCTAAAATTTTCAGTTTTATTTGATAAGTTCCCGTCTAAATATATGTTTTCTCTTCCAACTACATCTATTTGTTCAAGATGGAATGAAAGTCTGGACAAGTTTATGAAATGTTTTAATTAAATTTTCATTCTACTTCAACAAATATCTACTAATTTCAATTGGATTAACCTATTTATGACTGAAAATCCTTACTTAGAATGACAGTCCATTTAGAATATTTCATGAACTCATCCAGACTTTCATTCCATCTCTAGCATGCAGCCCAAATAAGAAGGGATACCCTATTCTTGGAATGAAAGTTTGCAAGTAAGATGACAACTTTTAAAATTAGAATAACATTTTTTAAAATGGAATGAAAATTTGAAATTTACATTGTAATTTGACTATAGAGTTAATACAGAATGATCATTTAAGTCTGGGAAATTTTTCCGTTGGAGAAAAAAAGAAAGGGGGAAGGAGGGGACAAGACAATCAACTTCTCACGACGCTCTTGGTGATCGAAAGTTAACTACTAAACCAAAACATCCATAATCAGCCGTTTTCAATTGCAAGTGAGCAGTAGATAGAGTCGAAACGAATATCGCAAAACAAAATTGAAAATCCGAAAATATCGCTAATAAAGGGGATTCACATTCATTCTATGCATGGATACAAAGTAAAAATAACAAGGAAAATCCGAGACGATTTATAAGAAAAGTCCAAGAAGGCCGCAATAAAATTGACCATCTCCGGATTCAAAATTATAGAGATGAACAAAGGAAAGACAGGGACAGTGAAAAAAACCTCGTCCCACACCCACACAACTGCTCTCTCTCTCTCTACCTCTCTCTCTTCCGATGCAGGCAGTCAGTCGCCTCACATCAACACAGAGTTGTTACCCCGCTTAGTTCGCGCATGCAAACCAGGTTCGCCCGTGCACCACAGTCCATCGCGGTCCCGCACGTCAACCCCACGTACCTGACACCAGCTCGTCGGATCGTCCAACTCTCGCACTCACTCACCTTCCCAACTTGCTCGTTAACCGACCCTCACTGATCACGCTAACCTTAAAATTCTTAGAGAGCAAACACATCGCGCTTGCGAAATTATAGCACGCATGCCTGCGCGAAAGGTACGGGATTCAGCCCAGGTGGACAAGAGGAGAGGAGAGGAAGTGCCTACGTCTGCATGGCCAGGCCGCACCCGACCCATCTTCCCGCAACTCCCCCATCCGACCCGTCTCATTTCCCCAGGCAGCCTTGCGCAGAAAGTCGCGCGATTACAGAAAATGGTTCGTCACAGCACCTCACCTCTCTCTATTCGGTAGAGCAATTGTCGTGAACTCTTCATTGTTTTCCCTGTTGTGGTATGTGAGTTCGGTCAGACTGATAAGCAAATCCTTGCTGGCATTAATAAGCAGACTTTCAGCCAGGTTTATCTGGAAGCCAAGGACAAACACAAATGAGGGTTTTATCTCAAAAGTAGCCTGGGAACTAATAATCCAGGCCAGAGACGAGGGAGGACTGGGCATAAAAGATCCGGTCAGGAGAAATTGGATGCTGCTATCAAACTGTATCGCTCGGGCCGCAAATAGTTATGGAACCGAACACTAGATTCAACTTGCAGAACAAATTCTGGCAACAGAATGGGACCTGTCACGTCCGGAGGATGTATGGCTTTGTTTGCAGTTAGATACATTCCTCAACAGTAGGGTTCAATATAGTTTTCGGGTCGGGATAGTGTATGCATGGAAGAAAGTTAAGCCTGACACATGGATCGAACCTGTGACCAAAGCAGAGGTCTTGTCCTAACCCCTGTTTGACAACCCTCGGATATTAGATGGTACAGGGAGTAATTTTAAAGCGAATAAGGAAACGGGGTCTTTTGGGGACAACTGGGTTCGCAGGGGTGTACTACGCATCGGTGACCTTTGGGAGGACATACTAGGGTACTGGAAGCCAGAGGAAAAGCCGTGGGAAAAACTGGGAAATGTACAGAAGGTGGAAGAAAAAATGCAGACCCTGATTGGAGCAATCCCCGATAGCTGGAGGAGTGTACTGGTGCCCGAAAATCCAGATCCGCCTGGCACTAAGTACATTCAGAAAGAGGAGGAACAGGTTGGCCCCCTGTCCTGCTGGAAGCTTCAAGAATACTCTCCCCAAAGGACGAGGAAGTTTTAGGAATGGGAAAGACAGCAGTACTCGTTGCAGCTGAAACTAACGGAATAGAACAACCAGCCGCGTCTGGTAGTAGCCTTGTCCCACGTCAGAGTAGAGGAACGTATCACAATTGCAGATGCGCAAATTGTAACACTGAGAGTGGCACAACCGATTAGGGAACGAAGACTAGATCCAGCAGCTTGGGGCTGGAGGGGCCAGGAGAAGGGAGGAAGTACGTTGCACATGGATAGGCTTCAAGAGGCCTCGAAAGTTCTTACTCCGCCGCGAACACTGGTTGCAGTGGCGGTGGAAAGATGGGAAAGAACTCTTCCCCTCTCAGGAGAGAAAGTGGCTCGGGGTATACCCCGATTGTGGAAGCAGCTTAAATTCCTCCCTTCGCAGAAGCACACAGGTATACTCTGGATGCTATCTCTTTTGGTCACCCCTTCGGCAGTATGGCTGGCAAGCAAAGGGATGCAAGTTTGCCTCACCTGCACAAGATGCGTTTGGCCGTTTGAGTTGACATCCCACTTGTGGTGGGACTGTCCAGCGTCACACAGGATTTGGCAGTGGTAGGCGATGCATTGGAAAGATTGTGCCTCATGAAGCTGGGACTGGGACAGAGAATGGGTGCTGTTGGGGATAGTTCCTGAACCCCTGCTGCTATCGGAAGGTTGTGGGTATGTTGCACAAGCATGCAGAGCAATTATATGCTCGGTGATCTGGGATATAAGGAACAAAGCAGTCTTTGAGGGAAAAGGGATGGCAGACATCGAAACAAAGTCTCTAATCCGAACTCCGCTCAGAAGGTACATCAGGGCAGATTGGAACAAGAAATGTGGTAATGTAGGCCGTAACAGCAGAGGGGTTAGCTGGTTTCAGAGAACGTGGGCCAAAGGAGGCACCACAAACTGGTTGGTAAGGATTGATCAAGAAGGAAGGTTGGAATTTTGCAGTTGGTTGAGGATGGAGCAGGAATAAATTAGCAGGGCACTCGGTTATCCGGGCCGCAGGTAGGTCGGCAGCGGGTAGTGGTCAAGCATATGTTTTTACTTTTATGTGGTAGAAGAGGTAGGAGTGCCAATTCGAGGGGAGCTTTGTCTCCAATAAATAGGTCGAGGTAGACCAATGGTTACAAAGTGGTTAGCAGGGACCTGATGGAAGAGCAGGGGGATCGAAAGGAATAACTAAGTCGCAGGAAGTCTGTGGATTTAGGTGCAGATGTTGGGACTACTTTGGCCCACTGTTACCTCCGGGTTGTTAGTGAGGATTCCCGGCCTCGATGACATTGATAATGGAATGCTCAACTTTTCCCGGAAAAAAAAAGAAAAGGAATAGGGTAGGAAATGAGCAGAGTTTCCCTGTAAAAAAAAAAAAAAGAATAGGGTAGGACCCGCAGGCATTTTGGCCTGTAAGCCGAGCTTCCAGTCAATTCTCGTAATGTCAGGCCCCACCGCGGGCATTCCGGCCTCAAATTCCGCAAAGTGATGGAATCTGAATTTTGAGGGCTGCGGCGCCGTCGGGGGTGATGCTTGGGCAGCGGGGTATCGCACGGGTGCTGTCAAAAGATGGTGGTGCCGAGCCAGAGCTTGTTGCTGGGGTGGTGGGAGCATGGGGGATCGAGTGTGTGGGCACTAGGAGGGACATGCTGCAAGAGGGTCTGAAGAGCCCTCGCCATGGCCAGTCCCAGCTAACTGGGGTCAGTAATCCTGTTCGAACGAGGAAGGATGGTGGCAGATATGTGGACATTTGAAGGGCGGGATCCGAGCATTGCAATCTGCCAGAGTTTCAGCTGGTTTATGACTGATTCACACCTGATGGGATTGATCGAGGGCTTAGTCCTTCGGTCTTTGATACGGAGATGCTGCGGGGTTATCCTGTCTACGAGTAATTGTGGATGGCCTGCGGCAAAAATTTGCCAGAGCTGCATGACGATAGAGAGCCGCGGTGTGATGGAGTTGACCGCACGATCTATGCTGCTTTCTTGAAGTTGTGCTGTTGCTGTGATAGAAATAGTAATTTGTTTGGTGTTTTGTTGTTATGTCTGCTGCTTCTGTTCTTTGGGGACAATAGGAATTAGGCATTGAATGATTGTTGTTTTTGTTGGCTAATAGAAACTAGCTGTAGTTATCGAACCTGTTGTGAGTTGAAACGAATTAGGGTTGGATGATGGGGGCATGTGAGCTATTTGTTAGTTTCTAGGTTTGGCCATAGAAATGGTAAATAGCTAGTACTTCGTTGCAGAAATTACGGTCTGCCTTCTGTAATTTTTCCAGATGATAGGAATTATGTTTTTAACGATAGTAGAGCTTTTGGGATTGCAGGTAGCGATGAGAATAGGTTTGTGTTGTTTCATTGATTTTGTTGGTCCATGGATACTAGCTGTTGTATCGAATTTGCTGTGTGTTAGGGTTGGATGATCGGGGTCCGCAGCTATTTCTTCTTCGGGTCTTAGGGTTTGTAGTGACACAGTGGCCCGATCTTAGGGCTTGACCGGTGATGTCTCGCCCTCGATGGGGCACCTTCTTTTTGTGAGGGACGCCAGGCCCGTTTCCTGGCTTATTGAAATATAAGGGACGCCGGTTCCGGTTCCCGGCAGCCTCTTCGAAAAAAAAAAAAAAAAAAAAAGAGGTGCCCGAGAGTTTTTGACACGTGGCCTGGAAAGCTAAGAATATATATATATACATCATTGGGAGCAATCATTCATTGGGAGATATCATTCGGTCCGGGAGCAAACATTCATTGCGAGAGTCGGTAGAGCCGCGAGAGGAGGTGGCGGGTACGCGCCACTTGCGGGAGGCGGTCAGCGCCGTTAACACTTGGAGGACAGTCGACCAGGTGGGTGGGTAGGACGGCTGCACTCTTGTCACAGAGCGCGCCCACCGCGAAAACCACAGCCTGAGGGTGGAAAACAAGGGAGCCAACAGGAGAGAGGAGAGCTGTCGCAGCCAGCAGTGAGTGGGCCTACCATGGCTCTTGAGACGAGGGAGGGACAGGGGAAGGAGGACCGTCTGGGGTCGGAGGAGGAAGCTGGAACGCCGATGAAGACGAAGCTCGGGGCATTCTCGTTTGAAGTAACCGGGAAGGTTCAGCGAGTGTTCTTTAGGGAAAGCATGAAGGAGAAGGCCGAGTCTTTGCGCATCGTGGGCTGGTGTGCCAACACGTGGAGCCAGTCCGTGGTAGGAGAGGTGCAGGGAAACCTGCAGGCGCTGGAGCAGATGAAGCACTGGCTCAGATTCGTCGGATCTAAAGAATCAAGGGTGGACAAGCTCCTTACTACTAACGAAATTTCAGATCTTGCCCAATTAACCAAGTCGGCCTTCACGATCGAGCCGCCAGTCTTCAAGTAGAGGGGAGTACAGTCATCATCATCATCATCATCATCATCTTCTTCGTTTGCTCAATGACATGATCCTTTACGCACACAGACACTATTTCTCAGTTGTAGACGTTCACCCACACAGAGCTAGTAACAGGCGTACATAGGCGCACGGATGCACACACACGCACACTTAGTGAAATCCAGACGTCCACCAACCCGCACACATACACTCACACACGCGCTCACCTGATGAGTCGATGAAAATCCCACGAAACCGTCTGGAACAGTCTTCTTGTGGAGTTGTGTAAAGTGAACATGACAGCACACGCACTCATTGGCTCCCACCCCCCCCCACACACACATGATGCTCACGCACATCGTCATTCTCTCTCTCTCTCTCTCTCTCTCTCTCTCTCTCTCTCTCTCTCTCTCTCTCTCTCTCTCTCTCTCTCTCTCTCT